CCCCCCCCCATCTCAGGTAAAGGGAGGGCAGGAGAACCTGCCCTTCCAGCCATGAACAAACAATATCAACATCTGCCAAGAAGCATCCGGGGCCTTGGGCAGACACCACAGTGGGGACTTACTTCAAATCTGGGGGCCCTGATCACCCCCTGAACACGGTACCTCCTGTCACCTTGTCCTCGACCCCAGGAATGGGACCAGGGCCCGTGGCACCAGTAGGCAGGTCCATGTGCACACAGTGCTGGGTGAGCAGGCTCAGGGGGACTCTGGGGATTGCTGGTGCTGACCCTGTGCTGGCCGGCTACCGGCCTGGTGCAAAGGCTCCATGCACACGTGGGCTCCGGCTGAGGGAAGGCCTGAGCGGGGAGGCCCACTCTCAGGAGATCTGCACAGCGTGGGTCATAGGCAACAGTTAGGGTCCTCACAGGAGCCAGGCAGCTCTTTTGGGCGGGCTCTTATACCAGCCCTCATAGACCTCACCAGCAAGGCCCAGGATGAGGGGGGTGGGGGTGGAGGAGGTGAGCAGTGACCTTATAGGTTGGTGACTGAGGAGGAGGTTGTAGGAGGCACTGGCTGGGCTCTTGCTTTGAGCAGAGAAACAATGTCTCCAGAGATGCTGGGAGGTTGCACACGCCCTTTGTGGGGACGTGGCCTTGCTGTCCTCCCACAGCCACTCCTGCAAGCCTTGGGTGATGCCAACAGGCGGCTGCCAGGGCCAGGCACCCAGAGGAGCTGCCTGCGCCAGCTGGGATGCAGGGATATAGCTCCCTGAGGAGCACCTGCGGCTTGTGCAGCACAGGGGGCACACAGTCGGTCAGTGGGTACAGCGTTCCGGGGCTGCCCCTGCCTTACTCCTCAGCTCACTGATGCCAATCGCCACACAGCCATGTGTCTCTGCTCCCTCTGCATCCAAGTTCTCAGCCAAGGTCCCTGAAGGGGCATGGGGCGCAGCTGCTGAAAAAGAGGGGCCACGGTGAGTGGAAGCACCAACCACGAGGCCCAGGCACCCAGGAGTCCCCGAGAACCAAGTCAAGACCCAGCAGTGCCACGATGTCCGTCCAGAGGGGCGGGGAGGTCGAAGGCCCACGTGCACGCTCCTCGCCCTTCCCTCCCAGGGTCTGG